GTGTAGAACCTTCAGGGAGAGGGAGCAGGACAGTCAAGGTGTCTTTAGTAGCAAGGGCTCCTGTGGGAGAAGGGAAGGTTAGTTTTGAGCCCTGACTCGACTTTCAGGTAGAAGATCTATGAAGAAGCTCACTCCACACCAATGGGAGGTCACTCAGGGTACTACAACACCTTGCATAGAGTAAGAAAGACTTGTAAGTGGAAGGGATACTTGAAGGAAGTGAGGGATTGGATCCGAGGGTGTGGAATTTTACAAAGGCATAAAATAGAAAGTGTTCTTACCCCTGGGATCCTACAACCATTAACCATTCTTGACCAAGCATGGATGGATATTACATTAGATTTCATTGAAAAACTGCCAATGTCCCATAGGAAGTCCACTATCCTTGTCGTTGTTGATAGACTAACCAAGTATGGTCACTTTCTTGTTCTTTTTCACCCTTATACTGCACAAGATGTGGCCAAAACATTCATTGATGGAGTCTTCAAATTTACATGGACTACCTTGCTCTATCGCAAGTGATCGTGACCCTTCATTTTCCAACAAGTTTTGGAAGGAGTTATTCTCGTTGTAGGGAACCAAGCTCAATATGGGGTCTTCTTATCATTTCCAATCAGAAGTTCTGAACAGAACATTGGAGACTTACTTGAGGTGCTTTTGTAGCTCCCTGAGTGGTGGTACAACACCACCTATCACTCTGCCACTAAAACCACTCCATTTGAAGCTCTGTATGGATACCCAACACTTGCATTACTAGAGTATGTGCTCGAAACTACCCATTTAGTAGTAGTAGACCTAGAACTCAGAAATTGGGAGGCTATTTCAACACAACCCAAAGACAATCTGAAAATAACACAAGCTTGAATGAAGAAGATGGTAGATAAGGCAAGAACCGAGTGCTCGTTCAACGTGGGGGATTCGGTTTCCTTGAGGTTACAACCTTACAAGCAGACCTCAGTTGCATTGAGGAAGAACCAGCAGCTAGTTGCAAGTTACTATGGGCCCTTTGAGAGGTAATTGAGAGAATTGGACTGGTAGCCTACCAATTGAAATTACCAGAAAATTACCACCTGCACCCAGTGTTCCACGTTTATTGTCTTAAGGCCAAGGTGGGGGAAAATAGCCATACGATACCCAGACTACCCCCACTCACTCCAGAGGATGTCCTCCATACCATTCCGAAGGCAGTCCTCGATCGTAGGATGGTCAAGAATGGTAACAAAGCCTCTACATAGTGGCTGATTCAATGGGAAGGAATTGTCCCTATGGATGCCACTTGGGAAGCCTCTACATAGTGGCTGATTCAATGGGAAGCCTCTACATAGTGGCTGCTGCCATGCCAAAAATCCCACCTTCACCCTATTGGCTAGATGCTGCCATGCCGGAAATCTTCCAAACACATTTCTCTCTTGCTGCTAGTTAGGCCCCGCCTCCGCCTTGGCACTTCCCTTGTAAATAATAAATCGGACATGAGAAGAGAAGGCTGGAAAGATCCTTGGTACTTGTTTTAGGTTCTAACTAGCTCCTCATCATCAAGATTTTTTTGGTATTAACATGAAAGGCATAAGAGGCCATTGCGTGCATTGGTGCTTGGCATTGAAGAGAACCTCGATACTATTCAAGCTAGCAAAGATCAAAAGATGGCCTCAGCCGAGCAGTTGGTGCTTGAACTCAGCAACCTTGATCTCAGAGAAAATGCTCTTCTTGATCTCTCCAAGGTAAGCTCCGTTTATTGGTTTTTTTTTTTTTTTCCAACCCTGGTGTTTGCTCCATTTTGATAAAAGAAGAAAAGAATCAGCCTTTAACTCATGTTTTGTCATTAGACCTGTTCACCTACTTTCATTTACGGTTCAAGATGCATGAGATTTTGCACATCTAAGGAGGCCAGTGCGACAGCCAAATCGGTGTCAAGAGGATTACCTTGTAGGCAGTCATAGATCTCTTCTAAGAGGATTTTGCACATCTTTGGTGTAATGCCCGTTGGCCTAGTTATTTCTGACACCTGACTATGCAAAAAATAGCCGATTAGAGCACAATGAGCGCAGCCCGTTTTCGTTTTCTCCTTCTCAGTGAACTCAACAAGCCAGCCCCGTTATTTCCAGCATTGGAATTTCCAAAGAATAACTGATTGGAGTGAAATGAGTGCATCCCGGTTTCATCGTCTCCCTCTTCGTGAATTCAACAAGCCAGCCCAGTTATTTTTGGCACTAGACTATCCAAAGAATAGCTGATCAGAGCACAATGAGCGCAGCCTTATTTCATCATCTCCCTCTTCGTGAACTCAACAAGCCAAATAAAAGTTGTAGAAGAGAGAGAGAGGGGAGGGAAAGAGAGAGACAGAGAAGGTTGAGAACTAATGTATAAAATTTAGAGCAAACCCTAGTTGTTGTGGCGACGAGTGACAACTTCATCTACTCCGGCAGTGGCGACGAAGTGAAAACACTACGTTTTTTAGTTACCTGAGTGTAAATAGGCAAAAACCCTAATCATATAGGGGATAATATCAATTTCTGATCGTTGTTGGTGAATTTAATCATTGGATAAGTGATCTTTGGCATCGATTTCCCATGCAAACAATCAGGGGATAATATGGGCAGCTTCGTCATTTTGAGAAATTTAATACGTCTCTTCTTCAGATCGCAGGAGGTGTTTATGTCATTATACTTATCAGTTAACAGTTTTGAACCAACTTGACAGTTTTTGTAAGTTCACGTACCGTTGTGACACAATTTGAAGTTCAGGTACTAACTTAAAACTACCCCTAAAGTACAACTCTTTACTCCAGTTCTATGACAGGAGTCTATTGAACACGTTCTTCAAACACAATCTAATCCCTCCCTATCATCTGATACCTTGTTATGGAAAAAGAATAATTCAGGTGTTTACACTATTAAGTCAGCATATTATACTTTTTAGAATATCCATCTGTTCTCATCAATAACCAGTTTCAAAAGGTCACATATTTCAAAAACCAAAATTCCATATCGTTATCAAGTTTATCTTAAGGCCCTATGGGATGGAATATTGACCAACGTTAAGCAGGCCAAGTGGATGCCCAATGGACAAACTCCGTGTCCTATGTGAAAATTCAGAAGAATCATTTCATCACCTATTCTTCAAATGCCCTTATACTAGGGCTTTGTGCGGTGCCGTACAAATTGGTATTAACCCAGAAGGGGTTCCAATCTGGCCATTACACATATTCATCACTAAATGGCTATCTGATCTTTCTCTCATGCTGAACAAACAAGTGAATATGTACGTCTCTCAGTTCCAATTAGCACTGCATCATATTTGGAGGGCTCGTAAAGACAAGTTGCATAATAATATCCAAATTCAGCCCTAGACATTTTAAATCAAATCAAGAGGGTTATGGGAACCTATGAGACTACGAGGAGAATACTTTGCATTTCAATGGTCCATCATCAACATCTAGTCTTTCTCATGAAAGCAAAAATGCTTCCTTTTATTTATTTATGGGAAAATCTATGATGCGTGAAAGATATGGTATGGAAAGACCACCCATGAATTTTTATAAATAATATCTTATTTGCTACCATGTTTATGATTCCAGTTTATTGATTAGTTGTTTTTGAGATATCATATATTTTCCATATCATACTTGAACCCTTTATGGATAAATGGATCATATGACTCCAACACAGGTACAACAGGAATTGGGTATGTTTATATTGCTTCAGGAGGCTACCAAATTAAAGCAATCAACAGCGCTATGATACAGAAGTTCGAGCTGTGATTCAAGGACTGCAACAAGCCATCGAAACAAATATCATTTTTTTTTATGCCAAAAAGCTTATAGATAAGCTTAATGGCTCTAGATAAGCTCATCTATAAGCTTATAGATAAGCTTACGGATAGATCAAGTTCACGCAGACATTTTCCCTGCACATCTAAGATGTTTTGATCTTGTAAAGTTTTGGTTCATAAGGAGGGTTAATAATATTTTAGCTCTCACCTTGGCATTCCTGTACATATAAAGTAGAGTTCACATGAACGATCTAATGTTGCACTGATGTTAAATAATTAATATATCTACTTTTACTTAGGAAAAAAAAAAGAAAGATACAGTTACAATTGCAATTGGATAATTCTCCATTATCGACAATGATCTAACCAAGCTTGTCCTGTGGAAGTGTTTGAGTTGAGATTTTGGACAATGATAACTGGATATACAACTGTATGTATCAGGACGGGTTTATTGTTGGTCTATCCTCTCAAGTTGGACGATTTTTATCTGTACAGTTGACCTGGAATTATACTCTAATGACAATAATCTCGATTCCAGTTCAACTGTATAAGATGCATAGGTGGAGACTGTCGCCTTTGTTTTCTCCTAGAGTGAAGTTAAAATGAAATAGTGAAATGTGCCAGTCTTTTAAAAAGGCTTGCGAACACAAAAAACCTTTTATATGTTCTTGGTTGTCAACAATCCTTTAGGCCTAACAATGTCTGTGAATTTTACGAAAGCACAGACTTGATCTTTTATATGTAAGGTGAAGTTTTTGAATAAGTTGATGTTCTCTAATACATTTCCTTCATACAAGCTTGAAGTGTAAATAAGTTTAAGTTCAGTATACATCGTGTTGAAACTTAATTAATTATAACGGGGATAATGAGAATTGAACATAAACCACTTGATCAAAATGACTCTGACCATTTCAAAAAACCATTCAACCTAAAAGTTTAAGTGAGTTCCTTAAACTAGTTTGGTACTGTATTTTGCAATTAAGAGAAGGTGCCAATTGGATGGGTTGGGGTGAATTATGATCGAACTATAACAGCTGCAACTTAACTCACCCATTTATTTAACAATTAACACCCACGCTCAATAGAGATTGCCATGAAGATTATGTGTTTGAATCGTTTCCTTTCAATGTGCTTAACAGCATCCTCTGATTAATTATGAGAGGATTGGTTGTGACTACTTTCATCTTAAACTGTTTGAATTATTCACGAAAGCTACCATTTGTACTTTTTAATTAAATGTGAGAAGTAGTTGTGTATCTCAGTAAGGTCACTACAATGGGTGAACTCACCAAGTGTCTCCCATCTGTCCAAGTCAACCTTCCATACTCACTCGATTTTCCGGGCGCCATCTCCACCTTCTCTGCTGATATCTTCACTTTGTAGCTCTGCTTTTCGCCCTTGTTGCGGAATTCCATCTTTGGAGGATCCACCGTCACTACGGCCCCTCGTGGATTCTCAACCGTTACGGCGTAGCTCGATGCACCGTTCCCAACGTGCGTCACCGTCCTAGTGACCTCGATCGTGAATTTAGACGGTCCAGATTGTTCAGAAATAACGGCAATCGAGGGGTAATTTACATTCCATGGCATTGGCACCTTCTCCTTTCTTCTGCAATTCACTGCCCTTCGTGCAATCAATCGAATATCATGACGTGTGTAGTTGGAAGCACAGAGGAAATCCAAGTAATCATCCACCGTAAGATTGTAGACCAAACCTGGATCTACGGCCTTGTCAGGGTCAACGTGTCCCGAACCTACGCCCCACGTTGTTGATGTGGTGTAGTTACGCTCGTCTAGCAAACCTTTCCCCGTGTTGTCATGCATATAAGCGGTGGTCATAAGCGCCGACCGGATCACCGCCGGCGACCAGTCGGGATGCGCCCCCTTAAGCAGAGCCGCCAGGCCCGAGACGTGGGGGCAGGCCATCGATGTACCTGAGATGATGTTGAACTCCGTTTGCCTAGTATCTGATGGTAACCCTGTGGGGCCTTTTGTATCGGTCCATGCCGCTAGGATGTTGACACCTGGGGCGATCACGTCGGGCTTCACGATGTAGGGTGAATTCGGGTTGGGCCCTCGTGATGAGAATGAAGCGACGACAGGTGCCGGTTTGACACCCAACTGGGTCCCATGGAAAACGATCGTTGCTCGTGGGTTATGTGAAGAGCTGATATATTCACGGAGGATGCGCCCAGCCGACTCTGTGATAGCTAAGGCGGGAAGAAGGTAAGCATCGGCTACGAGACCCTCGCCGGCCGGGAAAACGTTGGTCGCAATCATGCCCGCTCCACCTGCCTCCTTAACTGCGGCCCCCATTGCGGCACGTGAAATCCCGCTGTAGTCGCACAGAACGATCTTTCCACGTACAAGCTCTGGGTCTAACGACTTTGGCGTGCAAAGAGCTGCAGTTAGAGCTTCACTGCGACCCAAAATAGTCCGGTTTCTACGAATCACCGTTGCGTTCCATGCGTAAACCAATGGCAGAAATGTCTTCTCGGGTAAGGACGGTCCACTGTACAAAGAAGCTCCGGTGATGACAGGGCCGTTCTCTAATAGAAGGTCGGCAGGAAATCTCCGGTCGATTGTTCCTGCTCCAATCGTCGTGATCCAGGGAGCTACATTTGTGACGGTCGTTGTTTCAGGACCGTTGTTTCCGGCAGAAGCCGATACGAACACTCCTTTTTCCATTGCACCGAAAGCACCGATTGCGATAGGATCCTGGTGGTAGGGAAGAACAGCCCCGCCGAGGGATAGGGAAATCACGTTGACGCCATCTTCCACTGCCTTGTCTAGGGCGGAGAGTATGTCAGAGTCGAAGCAGCCCATGTCCCAACATACCTTATACACTGCAATTCGAGCTTTCGGCGCAATTCCAACGGCAACACCGGTGGCATATCCCAGCATCGAAGCTTGCGGGACGTCGCTGCCCGCTGCCGTAGATGCCGTGTGAGTTCCATGTCCAATAGAGTCTCTTGCCGACCTGAATTCGGTGGTTTCGTTTAATTTTCCGGCATAGGCTTGGTATCCCGATAGAAAGTATCTGGCGCCAACCAACTTCTTATTACAAAGGGTCTTGGGAAATGCTTGCCCTTCGGTGCACTCGCCCTTCCAGTGGGCAGGCACGGGGCCAAGGTCCTTATCGTCGAAGCTCCTCCGTTCGGGCCATATACCAGTGTCGAGAACGCCGATCACAACGGAGGATCCGTAGTCGGAATCAGCCAGTAGACCGCCTGTGCCGTTCTCGACAAGTCCAAGGAATTGAGGCGACCTAGTCGTGTGAATATGACGAATTCGATCCGGATAGACACCGAGAATTCCAGGGCGCTTCTTGATTTCTTGGGCCTCTTGGGAGGTTAGCTTTGCAGAGAAGCCATGGAATACAGTTTTATAGACATGAAGCAAATCGTAACAGTTGCTTTCTCCTTGGTGAAAGGTGGGATTTTGAGAGGCTAGTGGATTAAAAGCCAGGCTTCGAAGAGTAGAGCTGTACCAGTGCTCGACATCGGGGAACACAGAAGGTTTCAAGTCATTCTGGACCTGGACGATGAAGGTCTGCCTCTTGGCGTTATTATCTTCTGCAGCAGAGACGGAGAGGGCGAGGCAATTAGCAAAGACCAGAAACCAAAAGAGTTCCATATGGAACACCAGGGAACTGAACAAAAGGAGAAGAGGCGAATATGGGTAAAATGTTCTATGTAGGTAAAGGGAATTTATAATGCTTCAGAAGAGAATCAAATCTTCAACTTTAAGTCTTCAGGTAGTGAGAACGACTAGAAAAAGACTTCATTACATGCATAACAGAATGTCGAACATAAGGCATGGGACTCGGGAGGTAAGAATCAGAGACCAGGGACCGAATCTGCTGTTCTTCGCACAAGGCGCCTCACACCGACCGCACGGTCACATCCCACCGTGCATTGGAAATATCTTCCGTACTCATATGTTATTATTTACCGCACGTGGAATGTGAATGTGAGGTTGTTGCGAAGCGCCCTGTGTGAGGAGCTATTGCTAGTAGGTATAAGTTTGGACTTTGCAGTGCTTATGTGAAAAATAAGTATTTATTCTAATAACCACTTAAGAGAGTTTGGTGAAAATCACTTAGGGAAGTAATGAAATATAGGTATTTATCAAAAGGGTAAATTGTTTAAATCTCCCTGAACTTTCTAACAGTAAGTTTGATAATTACAATCATCTCCCCTCAACAGCTCTCAAAAAAAAGAATGGCGTTTGGTGAAGTGACCCCAAGTGTCACATGAGCATAAGTGATCTGAAGTCCGCGGGGCATAAGCTGTTGATGATGGTGCTTGAGTCTCATTTGATGATGAACCTTAGGTGCTTAAACTTAATCACAATGCAATATGCTTCCAAGGCAGCCCACGCTTCAGGTTCATTGATTTAGAAATCCCCTAACCCCTACAACTTACCCAAAATATGTATCCATTGTCATCTCTCATAATCACCCCAATTGCACACCTACCGTCATTCTTCTTTTAAAGCATCAAAGTTTATTTTAACCATGCCCCCGGTTTCGTCCAATTGATGAATAATATGTTATTGTTAATTTGGTTCGTAGTAAGGACCCTTCTGGATTCCATATACTCAAAATTGATTTTGTCAACTAGACAGTCTAGACTATAGGCGGGAATATTATCATTCTTGAATATTTTCTCATTTCTTTTCTTCCAAATGTTCTATAGTGCTATAATTTGCCAGATCTGCAGGAGTATCGTATTTCATATTAGATCCATTTATAACCACTCTGTCCCACCAATCTTTAATGTCTTCATTTGGTATAGTTGAGGCCTTGAGGGAAGCTTATCCCTAAATGTAACCCAAACTGGTTTGGATTATTCACATTGGAGAAAGAGATGATTTGTGTCCTCTTCTTCACCACAAAATCAACATCTAACGTCATTCCTTAGTCCCCAATTTCTCAATCTCTTTTTTTTTTTTTTGTCAATATTTTGTTTCGGAGAACTAGGTATATAAAGAATTTTACTATTGGTAGACAGTTCAAATTTCATATACACGAAGTTTCAGGTTAGTCAAGCAGACCCCCTATGGTTAGGATTTGCAAATAAGAGGCAAAAAATGTCCCATGTAATTAATTACTATTGAAGCAGCTTTTTATTAAAAAAAAAAAAACAATAACAATAAAAAAAGAAAATTTAAAATTACCGCTTTACCTTCGAGGGATTGATATGAAAGGTAAATTTGAACAATAAATCAATTTCAGAAAAGAGTGCGGAAGGGTTAGGGCTAGTGATTCGTATGAAAAGTAAATTTAAAAAAGAAAAAGAAAAAAACATTTTGATGAAAAGTAACTGTATGGGTATGTTGTACATTTCCATGCCTCATTTTAGAAGATTTTAACAAAAGGGGGTCTACTTACAATTATGTCACAAAATTCAGGGGTAGTGATTGCAATTATCAAATTTTAGGGCAAATTTCCGCAATGATAAAAAAGTTCAGGGGAGGTTTCAGTAATTTACCCTTTTCAAAATCGTAAATAAGTGATTATTAATGTATTCTCACCCCACAATAAGTGCTTATTAAAATAAATACTTATTTTTAAATACTCCCAAACTTAGACCTTCTATGTTTGGAGCAAACTACTAATGGAAAATGGTCATGGTGCACGCCACTGCATAAAAAGTCTGAACGGCGGTGTTGGCTGGATCGCCGTAAGTACCGACCCATGAGATGAGATCACAGTAAACACGCCCTGTATTAGAGTGTTTCCACTTTCCCATGGACTGATGGACACATACCAAATGAGATAACAGATTACCATATCGGGAGGCAGTATAGGGTCCATAACTCCATATCAGCCCAGGCCCACTGGTAATAACATGGTAATTGGTTTGGGCTTGGGCCGGTGAAATTCATGTCAAACTCCAAAGCCCCACTTGGGTAGGACTCACATTATTGCAATAGGTTAGGGTTGTTTGGACTAATTAGGTCGTATGTGTGTCACCATTCACCAACAGGATAGAAGGAACGTGCCATACACTTGGGTTTTGATCATTCTACAATCCAGTCAGATCATAACTAGGCTTATAACCAGATAGCATCTTTGATGGAAATTAATAAAGCAAAAATAACAAATATCAAATCCCGACCAGTTAGCATATCAGAGTGATTCCTAATTGCCACATTGGGGGATGAACCCAGAACCAATTTTCCCATCTATTCATGATTCCTTCCTTATATTAGCTAGTGAATCAATTTGTCCAGCTCATAACTCTGATTCAAGCTCTGGAGCATCTTCAAATTGCCAATTTTAGATTATTCAGTGATCAAAATGTTAATAGTCATTGTCATAAGCTCATAACATTATTCTTAAATTTATATCTTAGTTGAGTTTTGGGAAGAAGATAAGTTTGAACCCTAAATACCTAAAATCGGAAATCAAACAAACAATTATCAACGTCTGACTTCATACACTCTATACATAGCTTTGGATCGTGAAAACTCAGATACCATGATGATTTTATTGAGATTAATTGTAGTAGAAAGGAAACGATTTTGAAAAAGAAAACAAATAAAAAAGTGTAGTTGAACGAAAGAGGGTATTATTATCACAAAATAAAAGAAAGAATTCAAAGGGAACAAATAGATATTGAAAAAGAAGGTATACACTATACAGGACCAAGAGAGAGGTTTGGGCTCAGAGAAAATGGAATGGAGATGTTTTCCCAGACCTCCGATTAGAAGGTCTCATAATGAGCTGGGATTAAAAATCTTGTCATCATTGCATCCGCAACCTCTCCCATTGCAAACAGGAAAGAAGAAAAAAAATAATAATACTTGTTAGAAGTTCAAAACACAAAAATTGGATAAACAAAGCAAATAACAAAAATCTCCATTTCATTTGACGTTGTGAGGAGCATCGGAAATAAGAGTCTGGAATCGGAACAACATTCTCATTCCTTGTAGAACAACATTTTCTCATTTAAAGGAATGATCATTCATTCCCTCTCTTGCCTGGAGAATAAAATCCCATTTCAACTGATTTCAATTCCTATCTAACCCAAACAAACGATGGAAATAAATCATTCCATTCCAATTCCAACCATAAACCAAACCAAAGGGACCCTTACCTCTTCACCCGTTCTTTAGTCTAAACAACACCCACGCACACAGTAGACAAAAAAAAAGAAACATTGGAAAACATCAGCGACGCAATGACGGCCTTGCCAACTGCGATGCCTCTTCAGTCCCCACCCTTTTAAAAAGCGAGAGGCCTTGATGATTAGGGTTAGGGTTTATACGTATCTATCAATTTCGGTGGGACTGTGGATGTAGGTTGGGACTTGAGATGCGGGTCCATCCAAATGAGATCTGGTCCATCGGTCCATCCAAAGGAGACATCCACAGTATTAGGATTTAGGGTTACACGTTTTGCTTAGCAGTTAGCAATGTACTTGCGATTGAGCGTTTCCCAGTGGATGAACGGAGATAAGCTCTGGGCCAGACCAGATATCAAGCCTCCTGCGCCTGATGAAAACAGAGGTTGGAGGCTGGCCCAAGACACCCGGCATGATATATAACCACATCTTGAGTCTCTATGTGTATGGCATGGATTGGGCTAAAATATAAAGGCAGCTGACCAACTAGAAGGTTTAACATACAAGCCCATGATGGCCCAAAATGCATGCCCACTAGAAAAAGTAAAAATGAGGAACGTTGGCCCAGTATTGCTAAGACCAGGAATACTAAAACTTCAGTAAATAGCATCTCAGGAGTGGGCTTTTTCCATTTTCAAAGAGAAAAACCACTCCTCAAAAAGAGTTAAATCGGTTAACTCCACTCAGAATTAGTTTCTCCTATACTTATACAAAAGGCTATTCACTCTCAAAACCGTGAGAGTCGTTAACACTACTTTCAAAGAAAAAGTTATCTTTATACACAAAAGAAGACCCACTCTAACTAAGGTCGTTACCAAGAAAGGGGTAACAGCTATTGAGTTTTAATCAAATACAAATTCTTAATTGATTTAATCTCTACCTGTTTCAAGCGGAAGGAGCAGGGTAATTAGGTAAGCAAGTCAAAGGAATTTGAACTTGTTATGTCTTAATTTTTTGCTATTGATTTTTTTTTTTTGAATTTGTTCTTTTTTTATTTTTCCAACCATATCAGATTAGAAGCAGCCATTCAAAAAACAATAGACGTTTTGTAAATCTGGCATTCTAAATGTTTGAAGCACATTTTCTTTCTCCAACCCATGTCAGATCACAAGAAGCCATTGCAAAAACAAGAGACATTTTGTAAATTTGGCATTCCCAATGTTTCAAGCACAACCATTGCTCTATATGCAATCAAACAAATTGGGTTTCAAAGCCAACGATGCAGAGAAGGGCAAAGGATTCAAAGATGGTGGATTGCATCAAAAGGCAACTGATGGGAGAAGAGTGCAATTGTCGAATTTCTTGAGCAAAATCCGTTATGATAGAAAAAGCTTCTAAACGAGATTCTGCTAGGGTATCCACGTGTAAATCTGTTGTTGTGCTATTCTTTTCCAATGATCAAAGATGTTGCTTATGAGTCCTTATCTTTTCTATGTAGAAAGGTTTTTTGTGGTAGGAGGGAAGGACTTTTCATATTCCATTTTTTAAGTTCATGTATTATAT